TTTAACAATGAAAAATGCACAGCAATGCAGAAAGCTGCTGTACTAATGAAGAGCCAGGGAAGAAAGAAAATACTTCTGGAAATAAATTTTTACTAATAAAATCATTCAGATTAACTTTTTTATACTAGTTTTAAAGAAAATATCAGTTTATTGAAGTGTCAGTTTTCTGAAATGTGGGCCAACAGATACCTGCAGGTCAAACAACTCTGACAGAAATCTATGTTTAGACGTTTCCTCTCTGTTACACTCCTCATTACTAGGAGACATGCAAGGTGGGAGTTCCCCACTGAATATGTTCAAAAGCACAGGTTCTAAATAAAAAATTCTGTGTTCAGCAGGCTAGTGAGTGGTTTTTCATCACTGGATGCTGATAACCCATCCAAACCTGCCTGTCTCCTTAAAGGACCCTCAATGAGATGAAGGTGTTTCGTGATACTTTTTTTTGCAAGCTTGTAATGTATTATTTATCAATGTAGCTCCTTCCAAATATTAATAATATATGTTCTTCTACTTCTGCTCTTCTGCTGTGAAATCTTTTTTTTTTTCCTCCAGCTTTACCAAGTTCAGAAAATAAATTTAAACTTTATCCTGTGAAATGTTAGGTGATCTATAGCATGACTTATTTGGCATAAGTCCTCTGCAAAACTGTGGTCCTGATTATGTGACACAAAAACATTAACCCTGCAGCAGTTTGTGTCCCTTTTTCCAGCCTGCACCTCCTGGCACTGTTGACCAACAAGGGGCAATGGGACACTGGAGGTCTCAGTCCCAGCAGCACCCAGGGGTCCTGACCTCTTGCCAGGCCTGAACTTGGCACCTACACTGGATTTTAAAGGCTTATTTTTCACAAAACTAAAATTCTTCCCAAGTATCGTTTTAGCTATGGTAGTCAAGCAAATGGCACCCCCCCATTTCCTGGTAGGTAATTGCTCCAAATCATTGCAATGCTTTCAAGGAAAAAACATGAAAAAGACAGTTGCTGTTTTTGAAATATAATTAATACTCCACTTTTTCTCACTTATTTGTTTTGTTTAGCTGTAATTAGCCTGGTATCCCTGTGAATTTCAGGCACACCACATCATCTCATGCTGGATAAGCAAACAGGGCTGGCTAAGTAAATCCCCATTGATCAAGACTGTTGCCTGTAACACATGCGGAAAAAAAAAAAAAAACGCTTGACCAATACACTGGAGTCTCCAAACTGACATTTTAACTTGTAAGCCATTTTAAGTGTTTGTTATTTTTGATATCAACACAAACTTCCAATCTTATTCTCATTTGTTTTGTTGAGCATCACTGCTGTAATTTGTCTTTTTTGACGTTTGATATAATAGAAAGAAAAGGTTTTCAACCTTACTAGCATGCAAAGTACAGGACAAGCTTGGTCTTGGTCCTTTGTGAGTGATTTATTTTGCTTCTTCATAGCAACAACTGGGCAAAGATGTCATAACTGCAATTCATGCATTAAATGAGACCTGGAGGCTATTTTCTTCAAACAGGATGATATATTCCATGGTTTCCCTGTGTCATGAAAACCATCTGACATTATGCAAAAATTGTGCTTTTTTGCACACCACAGTAGATGAAATCATACAACAAAATATAAAATACTGAGGCCCCTAACAACAAAGGAAGTAAAATATACAACCAAAAACCAGAATGGGAGTGAGCACTGGGGACATGAAGCTTGCCAATGAACTGAGTTTTCAGTCCCCAGACAGTTTCATTGTTTCCTGTTTTACCCATGGCACCCTTCAAACAACAGAGGTTCCAGCTGAAAGGAAGGAGCAAACTGCAATTGTGGGCAGTTTAACAGGCACTGAGGATGAAGGCAGAAAGAATGATGGTACAAAGAGGCCCTCTGGGATGATTTGTTTATTGATCAGGTTTGGAGCATCCCACAAGTGCTTAGACAGCATGTCATGAAACTAAAGGAGATATCATGTGAGTTCTGATAAAATAAAAAAGTCTTAGGACTGAAGTTCAGGCTAGCAAATGAAACCTGAAAATAAGGACATTCATAGTAGCATATTTTGAACTAGTCTCACCATGTACAATCAGGAGAAAAAGATTGAAAAGTAGAGCTTTAAACAAATGCCTGGCTGAGAAAAAGGGGTGAGGAGAAGTGAGTCACAATATTAGAATGTTGGAGCACTTGTTAAAGAATAGGAGAAATTGTGAAATTCATTTTGGCCATGAGAAAAATAGCCTTATGAAAGCTTACAAACTTTTCTATCATCATTGTGATACCTAGTGAAAGGTTCAGGAGAATTTTAAAGTGTTGGAAAGCACAACATTAGAAAAAAAAATGCACAAGTATGCAGTTCAGACAAAGGGTGAAGTAATGAGAATTCTGCATTCTTCACTGGAGAATGCTACAAAAAGAGATGACAGCCCAGTAAGAAATGCAGAAGTGGTAGTTCATGCAGAATCAAACTAGGGACCATTAAGGGGAGAAAGAAAACCATAATATAAAGCCAAGGGTTAGAATGGGACCTAGTTACCTAGTATAGGCAACTTTGATGCTTAATGCTAAGGAAGAATATCAACATTATACCTGTGTTCAATATCTGTGGGAAAGAAGAAAATCAGTCAGGCAGCATAGTATCAAGGAGCAAAGTACGCAGGAAAGTCACAGCAGACTTTGTCCATGGAGGAATAATGATGGTTGTGAAAGGAATCTTTGTCAACTAAGACTTAAAAAAGAGGACAGTATTAACATTAGCTATTCAGGAAAAGTTCCCTAGTTATTCTACACTTTACAAAAAACTATAATTAGTTTAAATGCAAAACTTGTGCAGGAGCAATAAAAACTAGAATTACAAGATGGTTGTATTCAGTTAAATAAATAATAAGAAGAAAGTGGAAATAAATAAAACTGAGGCATATTACTATAGAAATTCTGAACGAGATAGCTGAGATTGTTAAATCACTACGGGTGGTGTGGATGCTATCTAGGGATATCATTTAGAAGACCCACAGCAAATGCACATATCCATTAAAAGGAAAATCTGTAAGGGCAAACAACATAGCTAATAAAATAAAGAACACATCTTTCAAAAAAATGAAGTTGTGTCTCAGAGAGGACAATAGAAAGAACCATAAACCTGCTTTATCTATAAAACCACAATAAAGAAGATGAAAAATGAGTTTGAATAAATCTCAGAAAACAAGCTAATAATAATAGTCTTTTAAGATATCTGGAGGCAAAAGCCTGAGAGGAACTGTGCAAAGCCAGCCCAAAACTGAGATACAGAAGTGCTCAGAAAAGAAAATATCACAAATGTAAGACCTACTATGTTTTTTTCTTTATTGTTAGTGTAGAAAAACTTGGGATTTTTTTTCTACCCTAGAACTTTATAGGGGACTCAGGAGAAGGGTAAATTAGCTATAGAAGCAGTTGAGGAACAAACAGACACAACAGTAACAAATCATTTGGATTAGCTGTTACATGCCCAAGAGCCTGAAGAATGAAATAAGGGAACTATTATGATGTGCAATATTTTGCTTCAAACCACTGTGGCAAAAGAACACTTGGAGGTATAAAATAACGCTGATTTTTTTCCCCCAAAAGTTCTCCAGGGAGTCCAGGGGAGATAAGGATGGATATGACTGACATGTACAGGCAAAACAGTGGGCAAATCAGTAAGAACAGATTTACTCAATTCAGAGAAAACTTCCCATTCTGAAAAAAGAGAAATCAACACAGCTTCTCTAAATAAAGCTGATATTTTGTGTTGCTTTCTGAATTCTTTGAGGAGGTTAACATGAAGGCAATTATATAAAGATGGATTAAAAACAAATGAGGGAGAGCTCTTAGTTATATTATAAATAAACAAATAAATAAATAAATAAATGCTCTGACAGAGCATGTGGACTCTCAAATTTAACATAAATTTCAAAGCATTGGGGCAAATTGCTGCAAGAAAAATACATTAAGTGTTGTTAAATGCAAAGACACCATTAGAACTAAATACAATTAGATAGTAAGAAAGTCTTATGAAGTGTTGCTTGGCCTGTTTTGTGGACACCATCTAGACATGAGTGTAAGAGATAGAAGGAATGACCAAATGGATCCTTCTCATGACATGACTTTTCTTACATGCCTGCAAAAGCGCAATTTATTTTCAGACTGAATAAAAGAAGTAGAATTTTTATGAGCGAAAACTTCACAGTTGCAGATGTGGTTTTCTACCTATGGAGTATTCATGATATATATAGTGGGATTTCAATTCATAGGGAAGAAGGAGATGCAAAGTAAAAAGCTGTCATGATCTTACTGCAGATTCATGCAATATATTCTAATATGAATTAGCCTTACTAACAAATTTTAGCAGTTAATAATTATAGTTATCAAGATATATGCTTGATTGGATTCTGCATTTTGAAGGTACAGAATATACTAAACTTCAGTAAATTTATGGAGACAAGAATATGACAATCCTCCTAATCATACACAGACTATAAAACTCTTTAAATTAGCATACTTCTGAAAAGCTTCATTTAAACTAACTGATGTGAAACATAATAAATGATCAGTAAATTATCACTGTTTGGAGCCTGTAAGTGTTTTCAGGGACAGATATAACCTTCTGAGCCAAGACATATAAAAATCTGTTCCTGAATATAACAGTAATGCTTAGCATGAGCTAGCTCAGCCTTTGGTACCTGGAAGTCTCAGGTTATAGCTTTTTGTAATTTGAAGGAGTTAATTCAGTTTCTCTTGACAAAATAGTATTTCCCAAATAAATTTTATAGTGCAAATGAAATTAACTCAGGCTCAGGTGGGTTTTGTGGGATGATGGTGTATATACTCTTAAACATTTAACTCAAACTTTCAAAGTCAGCTTTATATTATTTTTAGAAAACAGGATGTCTGATTTTTTTTCATCATATACTGTTCTTTTTCCAGGATCTCAGCTTCTTATCTACAGGGCTTTTCCAGATTAATACTTTTAGTCATACTTATTTGAAAATCAGTGCTTTGGAATATTACATACTCTTAGGAAATCTGGGTGGGTTGTCGTTGACATCCGTGAGAGTAATGTTTACAGTGGTAGTACCAGCTAGTCCTCCCAGCTGTCCTCCCATGTCCTTGGCTTGGATTAGAACTTGATATTGTTCTTTCACTTCTCTGTCCATGTTTGGCAAAGCTGTTCTTATTACACCTATGAGAAGAACGAAAAAGAAAAGGAGCAAATAAACAAAGGGCTGTGATTGTCTACTCTTACAAATTAATATTGGATTTCTTGAACCAGGTATAGAATTCTTCTGAACGGTTTGATGAGAGGAGGTCACATGAAAACACAAAAATCACTCAGGCTTTTCGAAAGTGTGTTTGTCAGCTATTCAACCACTCAAAATGACTGTTTTGCCTTTTCAATCAGATATGAATGGATGAAAGAGAATGATGCATTTTCAATAGGGATGTGAATGCTGTGATCATAGGTTTGCCACATCAGGGTTGAGGAGCACTGCCTTGTACAGAGTAAGGCAATGTAGAAAGAGGTGGCATTGCATTGCAGAGCCTGCCTCTTCAATTGTTTCCAACCATTCACTTGACAATAAATGCAAGTTACTGTAGGCCAAGACAATGCTCCTCTGTACAAAAGGAGGTCTTTATTAGAAGACTCTTCCTTTCCTAGAGAAAGTTTTCTTGATATAGCACAAATATGCAGTGAAAATTTGAGGAATTTCCTTTTAAAAAAGGAATTAAATATCACTGTAAGACATGACTTTTAGTCTTTAGTGATTTTGGATAACTGCTATCTAAGCAGATATGCCATAATCTCCCTTCAGATATGCTAATATATAGAATTAAAGGAAGACTTGAAGAGAGAAGGAGAGAGAAAGGGAGAGGTACTACTGTACACACAAATTTACCAATGAGATTATATAAAGCTAAAAGGTTTGGGGTACTAAAGGCTTTTGCTTGAAATGAAATATGTAGGAGGAAATACATGTCTTCCTCAAAGTTTTACAAATATAACTAGCATTGGAAAATGCTATTTATTCACCAGCAGTTATCAGAAAAGGTCCAGGTGCACATTGGTGCAGATGACATGCAAAACTGAAAAATAAACCAACTGGAAGTATGGACTTCCTGGTTATTATTTATTTAGAAAGTATTATTTTCTAGTATTAAACAATTTTATGTCAAAAGCAGGTTTTACCAGGTATTAAAATGGGTATGGAATGGCAAGAAGCAAACTTTAAGGACCATTCTTATCTTTATAGCAGCTGCCTTAACAAGTCAGAATAGGAACCATTAGTTTATAATACTTTTTCAGAGTCTAGAAATGACGTTGACCTAAATCTGCTATTTCTGGAACCTATTAATAATTGCCATTGAATTGAACTCTTTAACAGTTTCTTTCCACCTTTAACATGATGATAATGACAATATTAGAAATCACCATTTTCCTGCCTCAGGATGGCATACTGCACACAGTTTTCTCCAAACTGAAATCTTTAATTATAAAACTGCAAAATTTGTTCATATTCATGAGATTCAGAAAAAAATATTTTTGCAAATAGGATGAACTTTACAGGTTTCCTCTTGAATCTCTTAATCTCAATTATTGCTTAATTTGGCATTGTGGAGGCTATATGCTCCGCAGCATTTTACAACATCCTTGGTATGTTCATTCCAAGGGGAAAAGACCTATGGGAATGAAAGGCCTCCTGTGTCATAGTAACAAAATGAAATATAAGAATTACAGAATGAGAATATGCTAAATTGGAAGCCACCCATCAGGATCATTGAGTGCAACTCCTGTCTCTGTGCAGGACACACCGAGTCACAACATATTCCTCAGAGTGTTTGTATAAATGCTCAATGAACTCTGTCATGCTGAAGCTGTGACCACTTCCCTGGTAAGCTGTTCCAGTGCCCAACCAACCTCTGGGTAAAAAACCTTTCTCTGATATCCAACTTAAACCTTCCCTGACTCAGCTTTATGACATTTCCTCGAGTCCTGTCACTGGTCATGAGAGAGATCTGTACCTGCCCCTCCTCTTCCACTCATGAGAATGTTCAAGACCACAATGAGACTTCCAATCAGCCTCCTCCAGGCTGAACAGACCAAGTGACCTCAGCTGCTCTTCATATGGCTTCCCCTCAAGGCCCTTCTCTCTGAGAGCTCACATGGGTCTTTTTTATATTATGGCACCCAAAACTGCCCCCAGCACTCGAGGTGAGGCTGTCCCAGCTCAGAGCAGAGCAGGACAATCCCCTCCCTTGCCCAGATGTCAATGCTGTGCCTGATGCCCTCAGGAGATGGTTGGCCCTCCTGGCTGCCAGGACACAATGACTCAGATTCAATTGGCCATTGTCCAGGACATCCAGGTTCCTTCCGACAGTGCTGCTTTCCAGCCCCTCATTCCCCAGTCTATACACAACCAGGGTATAGACTGCAGAATCTGGTACTTTGTTAAGCTTCATATGTTCGGTGACTGCCCAGCTCTCTATTTTGTAAAAAATCTGCTGGACCTCCCTGCCTCCAAGAGAGTCGACAGCTCCTCCCAATTTAGTGTTACCAGCAAACTTAACTGGTGTTCCTTGCAGTCTTGTGTCCAAATAATTTATGAGGATGTTGAAGAACGCTGTTGAGGATGTATCCCTGCAGAGCCCCACTAGTGCCAGGTCACCACTCTGATCACCCCATCACTCAGGTCACCCCATTCACTGCAACCCTTTGTGCCTGACCTGTGAGCCAGCTGCTCACCCATGACATGATGTGTGTTTACCCAGCTGTGTGCTGGACATTTTGTCCAGAAGGATCCTGTGAGAGATGGTATCAAAAGCTTTGCTGAAGTTCAAAAAGGTGACAGAAAAACATGACAGAAAAAACTGAGCATGGGCACACAGCAGGTTGTGAAGAGAGAAATGCAGTTTATCTGGTTGATATAGGTGTTCTGGGTACAACTAAGTGACTTTCTCAGAAATGTTGCAGGGTTTTTTCATAAAATGAAGAATGGGCAATCACTCCACTAGTAAAGTTCCAAATCACCCACTATTTATTCCTGTCTAGATGTGTCAGGTCATTCTATATATTTTTCTGGAAAAAACCCTTTAGAAAAGAAAAAAATCTATGAAAATATTTTTTATGTCTTGCAATTCATGGGCAATTTTCTTTTTTCTGCCTACTCTATTTCAAAGGCTTAGACAAAATACTGAGAAACATTATTTCTTCCAAAATCAGTTCATATGGACAGGAAAAATGTGAATTAGAGTTATCTTACCAGAAAAATAGAAGAATAAAGTAGAGCTAAGGATCCATGGGAAGTAAAGGGCTACAAATGCTGGTATTTCAACTTCAGCATTACGAAGAATATCTAAATTTAAATCAAAGGGTTATTAAAATGTAGAGGCCTTATGTGCTTGTGATTGTGTTCCAAGTTTTTGTAAATCTTTTTACCTTAAGATTTTACAATATTGTTCAACTGCAGAACTTAATAACTTTGATTTTCTTTTTTGTCTTTTCAGATGTCATCAATATCAAATGTGTAGAAAAATATGGTCTCCATGAGATTGCTGAAAACTCCAAATAGTATGTATGGGACTTGGGACAGAAGATTTGCTTTCCAAAGTTATTGACCTGTAATTCAGCAGATCATCCACTTTTGTGTAAGAGAAAACACAGGTTCCAAGAAAAACCTCCTGCATAAATATTAACATCAATACTCCTGCTGATCCCACTTTGGATTTCAATAATATTACTGAAGTCAGAAGATGGACTAGAATGCGAAGTCTAACAAAACTTGGTAACATCTAGCCATAAATAAGAATGTTGATCTAAAAAACATATCAGAAAATTGGGTGGAAAGGGCATTTTCATGGTGAAAATGGACACTTTCATAAGAAAGGGAATATACAGAGGAAAGAGAAGAGAGGTTATCTGTTTTAAGAGAAGTTCTCATGTTAAAAAAAAAAAACCCTCTCACATTAAAATCAGAAGAGAAATTTTATAGTATTTAAAAGTACCCCTGACATACAAGATTTGAGGCCTTAGAGTGTGGCATTCAAACAGTTGCTCTCCAGAAGGTACTGTACTGCATGTCACCTCCCTGAAATAGCAATGAAGGCTAACTCTCCCTCTTCCACATGGTTTGCTTATCTCCAACAAAAAAAAAAAAAAAAAAAAAAAAAAAAAATTGTGAGGTCAATAAACCCAAGGAGTAAAAGGGGCAGCCGTGATATTCAGACCCACAGAGGTTAAATACTATTTAAGTGTACTAGTTTCATATCAGAGTAAATGTGTAACACCTATTAGGAGTGACTTGAGAAAAGAATGTGTGCTAAATCATGTGCTTGACAAGCACCATCCTTATTTCACACATGAAGTTATGGTCAGTGGTTCCTCCGTTACTACTTTGCAATGGCATCTTGCAATGGGATCTTTGCAATGGGATCTTGCAATGGGATTGTTGCAATAGGATCTTACTTGACCTAGTGACAGAAATTTCCACAAACTTATCAACATCTATGGTAGAAGCTAAAGAAACAAACAGTTTTTGGAACTTTTTGGGAAGGAACGGAGAACAGAAGTGCTATTAAACAGCTCTATACATATATATATATAATCAGCTGCATTCCTGAATACTGTGTGCACTTTCTCACCCTGAGGAGGAGAAGGATGATTACTGGTATGGAATGGCTTCTGTATAAAGAAGTCTTCAATCTGGAAAAGAGTCATTTCAGAGAGAATATAAATAGAAATTAACTATTCACTGCCTTATGCAATATGTGAGGTATGAAACAAGTCAAGAGATGCCCCTCTTTCAAAAAAAAAAAAGAGCAAGAGGAGCCAGTTCTTAGCCAGATAAACTTTTGCTGTGGAATTTCTAGACAGTGGGTATGCAACTACTGCACTCCTGGACAAGTCAAATCTACTGGGAGGTGGAAAAATTTTGAAGGAGAAATACTTTCAGACTTTCAGTTACTTTGACCCTGCTAGTCACCCAGGAACTTTTTAAGGACAAGTTCTTTCAAAGCTAGAAGAGTATTCCAGGGGTACATCACTAAACACTTACTCTTCATCCCTCACTAGAACTAAGCAGGCCATCACTTTGGGAAACATGACACAGGGCAGAAACTTAGTATAGAAGTTCTTGGGTTCTTTAAATAACTACAAGATTATGTCTCAAAATTGTTTCTGGAATGCAAGAGATGGCAAAACAAGCCAACAAACAACACAAAAAATGCTTATTCATCTGCTGGCAGCTCTGAGTTTGTCATTGTGCCGAAATGGCTTTCTTCCCCTTTCCTGCCAAAAGCACTCAGGACAGATTTCTGGCAGTAAAACTCTCCAATGAAAAACTACCGTATAAACTCCTCAGTTATAAAATAAAGACTATGAAAGATCAGATCTGTAGTACTGCCCTTGACTTCTGGATTTTAGAACAAATCGTTAAGCATCATCCTGTGCAGTGTTAATCACACACTGCTTACCTCTAAAGTCACTGCTGGACCCATGAGTAATTCTCATAATGTGAGCTTTCTAATGTAAGGCACTTTACAGCATATTATTGATGCTTGTAGAACCATGAATCTATATGTTTTTTTCTGGTATAGGATTTTAAACTATGCTGGGCTACTGTTTCACCAATCTTCCTCTGCAGCTGTGTCCGTTCTTTTAGCCCATGAGTAATTCATTTAAGGAAATAGCCAGGTTTGTATGATGTTCCAGGGCTTGTAGGGTGCAGACCATCACCTATGGTTGTCTTTTACTACTGAGTAACAGATTAGAACATATGACACAGTCATTCAAAGTGCCATGGGAAAAATAGTTCTTCTTCCGTGTACTACTAACTACTCTTTTTTTTTCTTGTGAAACTTGTAGTAAAACTCCAATTTTGGCTCCAGTGAAGCTTTCTCTTGCCACTGAATTTATACCCATTCTTTACAAAACTGAAATGAAATATTAAGTATAAAGGCAACTACTTTTTTTTCCCAGACACCCGAATAAGTCCTATTTCAGTTTGAAAAGTAAAATTGCTCACTGCAAATTGCAGTATGATCTCCTGCTAAATGGAGCATGGAACAAAGGAATGTGTACAATGGAGATGGTGCACTCACAGCCTTACAAAGCTCCACCATCAGGGCTAAAGGCCCTGAATCTGACATTCTACATTGGAAGGTGGAACTATTTGCTGAAAGGAGCATATGGATAGCTTTCCCTATAGCACACTCAGGATGCCACAATGTGTGTCATTCACCATGTATGCTATCGCTTCCTCAACCGAATTACTAAATATAGCATCAAGAATGACATTTAGAAATATAGGACAAGATGCCCAATTAACATGTCCATCAACTTCCCAAATACTTCAGTCTCTTTAAACACATTATCTTTTTCTGCTCACACATCCAGTAACCCCAAAGATAATATGCCCCAGAAAAAGATGGGAAGGAGACAATTAGCTGTTCCACAGTCTCAAATTAGTTCTATATAACAAAACAATAATTGCTGGAGAATTTCTGTCTGTATGTTCAGCAAGTAAAAATGCTGAGAAGACCCAAGTTAAAATACTCAATCATCAGGAAAAAAAAAAAAAAAAAAAATACATGTAGAAGACAAAGCTTGATCTTAGGGAAATGGGGAAATGGTAAAGCATTGAAAAAATAAACATTCAATGCAGACTTATTTTAGATATTCCAGTACTGGTTGGATGAGCATGTTTCTTTTCTTTCCACAACACATTGTAATTCATAAAAAGCTAGTCAATACTCTAAACTGAATCATGTGGGAAATTGATCTTCTGGATTTTGGCCATATCAACCAGATCCATATTTATTCATTGATACTGCCCACATGAATCAAAAAATCCAAAGCTTAAATCTTCCACTGTTGCTGATAAACTATTTACCTGTCTTGGGATCAATGGAGAAATATGGTTGCCCCTGAAGAATGCTGTAAACCACTCTAGCACTGTTTCCATAAGTGGGATCATCAGCATCTGTCGCCTTTACTTGAAGCACATATGCTCCTGCAAAGAAACAAAGGTAATCACATTTTTGTCATATATCAATGATCAGGGATATTTCAAACATATTAGTCTAGTTGCTAGTGGATTCTGTTACAATTCTTGTTCCACTGGAAAAAAGGTGAGAATAAAACTGTTAATTCTTCAGCTCCACACTAGCAGCCATCTAGGTAACAGCTGAGGCATAAAGGGGAAGAAAGAGAAAGAAGATATTTATAAAGATACTGACATCAGAAGATATTTATAAATAGTTTATGATTTTTTACAAAAACCTTTTACATAACACATACAGAATGGAGGTTTGGGAAAACTCAATATTAAATTTTGAAAAAGGATTATGCCCCACAACTTTGTGAAAAAGTAGACAACCATGAAAGTAAAACATGGGAGTTGCCTTTAAAACAAGTATTTGGTCAATCAACTCCTGAATCTTCAGTAAGATCAAGCGAACCAAGCTCTAAGTACATTAAAGAACTGCACTGCAGTCTCCTACAGCTGGAATTCATATTCTTTAGAGTATGAAATTAGGTGTTTAGTTCAGGTAGTGGTCTTTAAAATCCAGACATGACTACCCTTGCCATTCCAATACAGCTCAGTAAGAATTAGAAATAACGTGGAGGAAGCATTTTTGTCACTTTGTCTTCAGCCATAACTGTAGACCAGACCTAATGCAGTTTTCTTACATTACAACCTAAAATGGACCAATGGAGCAAAAATGAAATGCACATGAAACCAGAAAATTTTCTGCAAATAACAAAAGTCCACAGAAATTTCTTGTTCCTCCCGCTGTTTGCTAATCTATTTACTTGCATTTCCTCACTGCCCCATAATTAAAATAGTTTTCAAACTATAAACTGCAGCAAAACAAACAGCCACGTTGGCAGGCTTTTCCATCAGCTTTGAATAATTGTTTCCTATGATCTTCTGGCAATTCAGTGTTGGAATTTTCAGTGCTGATTTGGAGTGAAGACTGCCTACACAAGGACAGCACAGTGGTGTGCATTATCTCCATCATTCCTGTTTTAAGCAGCATTGAGCATTTGGAGCTCATTTGATATTTTTTCAAAAATATCCATGGAATACTGTAAGAGCTTTAAGATTGCTACTTTTTTTGCAATGAAAAATGACAAGTTTCAAAAAATGTTCAGAGTTGGAAATGGACCTCAATGGATTTGTCGAAATTTTGTTCTGGGAGTACCTCACTGAGAGATGTTCCTTGTGAAAGGTCCTGTGACTTTGGGAGGAAAGTAAAAGCGAAGGTTAACTGTTTGAATGACAATTTGTTTTAGTGTCCAGCCCATGTAATCTCTTCATATGACAGTGATGACTGACTGGGGCACTGAGAGGTTTGGTACTAGCATTGTAAAAACACTTGCTGCATGATGGCAACATCAGACTTCTCCTGTTATGGTTTTTGAGTAATAGAGAATGAAAAGTGATTCCAAGAGTAATATTCCAAGAGGAATATCTACCTCCTGAGGAAAACACAAAAATAGAAGTGTTCTTTGATTAGCAATCACTTTTTAAAGTTAATTGGTGCATCATGTTCTTAAGCTGACAGCAAGTTTCATTAAAATCAACTTCTAAAACAAAGAAAATGTTAGCAAATAATAAGTGAATCAATGAAAATAAACAACACAGCTGAATCCAAATCTATATCTCCTCACACAAAAATGTGATGATGCAATCTGAAGAAAGCAGACACTGGACATCAAAGTGACTGAAAATTCTGTCACCAATTGAGGTGCTTGATGATTCCTGCACATGCTGATTATTCGTGTAGATATCCCTAGGTACATGATCCAGGCAGTCAAACATTCTTACACAAAAGAAGGAAAAAAAGTTAATTTACAAGTATTATTAAGGGAAACATACCGAGTCTGATAAATCCTTGGCACTGAATATGAAAAACATTCCATTTTGAATTAATAGCATTTTCACATGTATTAACCCACCTGTCAGATCTTTTAACCTAACAGATAATATGTAAAGTTTATATATTTTATGAGGGATTTGGCATGTTGGTTTGTATTTTTCTAATAGGCCTCCTGTCATTTATTTATTTAAATGCATACCTAATGTTCTTAATGGATTTTCTGAAATTGGTTTCTCATCTTTTCAGTATTATCAAGAATTTCTCTTTGTATCTGACAAGCTTTCTATTTTCTTGCAAAGCATGAAACCAACGTATTTTTAAAAGTAGATTCTAAAATCAAATTATGTTTTTCCAGGCAATAATGCAGGGCACTACAGCTGTAAATCTTTAATGCACAAATGTAGTGATGAAGGATCACATTAACTGTACTTCATGACATTTCAATTAAAATATATACTTACATTACTACATGGAGTAATGTAATGAGCAAAAAAGATACAATGCTGCTTTTTAGGAAAATACCTTATATTTAAATATTATTAAATATTATATTTATATTTTAAATTTTTCATGTGCAAGAAACACATATTTGATGTAAGGCATTACAAAATGCAGAAAAAATGAATTATGTGCTTTAGTTATTTATGTTTTAGAAAGAGGAAAAAAATAATGTTAAACCATTCACACAGCTCAAGAAATGGTATGGAATTTTAAAGATTTGTTTTCTTTGAAAAAATATAAGCGGTATTGAAAACTAACATACTGTAAATCACAGCAAGCATGCTCACCTGAATTTTACTCTTGCTAAGAATAAAGGAGACTCATCAATAAGCACTAATAGAATGGACCCTAAGATCTATAACTTGTTGGCAAAACTGACAGAAATAGCACTAATAAAAAAGCCTTGTTTTTTATGTCAGAATAACATTAAGGAACTGTAGGACATCTGAGTTTATACCATAACAGAAATGTTTATGAAATATTGATTTGACTTCTAGAACAATTACCTTCCTTTTTTTTCTGACAGTCTCTCATTGGTAAAAATGTTATTTTGCCAAAATAAAAAGGATCTTTGAAAGAAGACCAATATTTATGAAATCTCTTTTCATCCAAACAGTACTACAAAGAAATTTCAAAATATTCTAATACAAATTGCTTATGAATGTCAACATTTGTTTAAAGAATTATTTTAAATTTTTGACCCTCCCAAATTTTGAAACAGAGTATTTGATTCACTGATTATCTTTTATGTTTTGGGGTTTTTTCCCATTATAAAAGACTAAAATATTGATCCTATTTATTATTTCAACATGGAAACAAATTCTATCTTTTCCAAAGTGTAGTTGGGGTGGGATATCTTGCTCTCTGTGGAACTATTTCTGTCATTCAAAGTAATCAAGCATGAAATCTGAGGTTTTGTTGTGTTTAGTTTGTTGACCTGGAGAGCATGACAAAGAATACACAAAACTCGACTGGGACTAGTTAAAATGGTTATTTCATTGTAAAGGAAAATGAGATGATTCAATGCTATGAGAATAACATAGCAGACTTATTTAGACATGATTTTGCCCCCCCCCCAAAAAAATGCTCATTCAATAGAATTGCAAAGACAAACTGGAAAGGAGATGGTGATTTGTTATGCATTTTCCTGTTAAGAACAGCTTACACTATGCCTGCAAATCCCATTAAGTTTGGTTACAAATGCCAAAATTCAGTTAGGTGATAGCAGTGTGTTGTTTTACACAGGAAATGAGGGTGGCCTGCTTCGAGGCTTTGAAGAGGTAAGAGAAGGCTGGATGGGAGCAGTAAGTTTTAAAGATTAATTGAGAAAGGAAGGGATGCTGAAAATATTATATCACAGGACTTCAAGTGTCCCATAGGCTCTGTCTGGAGTCTTTCTCCACTCCACAGTGATCAGAGGTTCAGTCAAAGCATGGGATTCAGGCCCTCATCCTGCCTGGTTTTGTAATTTCATCAATACAAAGATATCACTGCTTTGGTGATACTGTCATGCAGATTCCTACCTCAACTCTCCTCCTTTGTAATTCAGGGCTCTGATTTTGCCATTTTTCTTGTTCATCTTTTTCCTGTGTTTTGTAAGTAGGAAATGAATATGTGACACTCTATTTGAATTTTCATGGAATTACTTTTTGTAATGGAGTACCAAAGATGGTTTCATCTACTTCATGGTGACTAAAGATATGATTTCCTTGTACAGTCAAAAGAACTGTCATCATCTTGCTGCACAACCTCTCCCCTTCCACATGCATTATGTAGTGCTTTTGAAAGAAATTAGATGATTGTGAAAATATTTTTTTTTATGGGAAGGGTGAAGGAAGAGCACAGCTGCTGGCATAGAAACTAACTACTTTGTGCAATATTATTTCTAAACAATTTCAAAAATAGCACCATGGCAGCCCAAACAACATTCATCTTCTTATCAGAATTCAAGTAAAAACCTAATCAACAGATTTCATAGTTGTGGGCTTAGGTTTTTTTCTTTAAGTTTAAGAAAAAAAAGAAGTGAATTTATGGCTCACTGCAGCACTACATTGCAATTCAGATCAGGAGATTTCGTGTCTCAATAAATATTCCCCTGACCTGCCACCAGTAGTTTCAGCAAAACTCCAGTGCTCAGAAGACATGGGCATTTGTAAAAAGAGATGCTGACATTGCCCTTTTGGGGCTTATCTCCTATAGAAAAATTACCAGTAATAAGTTTTGAATATATACTCTGGACGCTGACTCCCACAAAAGTAATGTGAAGAAGACATATTTCACTCGGAAAAGTCAGTTTCCAGTTTATGTATTCATAGCTGTGCAGCCCCGATAATAACACAAGCTTGCTGGCTCCATCAATATCTTGAACACTAGACACAATCAGGGAAGCACACTTTATTCCTGTTTTGCATTCGAGACATCCCCCTGAACATATATATTTCTCTCAGATGTCAGAAGCGGCCATGGCCACAAAAGCAATACTGCCATTCCCTTTTGTAATTGATGAAGAATGGCAAGCCTTTTGCTAATAGTTCTGCTGTGCTGGTAGCTAAAAGCAGCTGCTGCAAATCTCAGCATTTAATGCATAATCAAGCATATTTCTTGTATGTCTAGAATAACATTTAAA